GGATACCACAGATTCGGGACTGCAGTTAAGTAAAAAACAAATGATGCTTAAGTGTGAAGGCTCCGTTTCATGGCAAAACTGTGTGTTTCTGGTCCTGAGTGAAACTGGGTCTCACTGGGAGCCCATGAAGCATTCCAGGGAAGATGTGCATATTTCCACAAGTGGCTCCTGTGTGCTAGTTTTGTCCTCCAGAGGGAATAGGTGCAAAGTGGGATATAGGGCAAAAACAAAGCCTGAAATGGAGGCCAGTTGTTTGCATTTCAGTTTGGGGAGTTGAGTAATTTAGATCAGCCTCAGAACAAACAAGTAGAGCTCAGGGTAGGATGTTGGGGAGGGAGGTAGTGATCTGCAGAACTGGTTAAAGAAATAAAGAAATGTCTTTGGGGTTTTCTTCTTACTCAAGTCCCACTGCCCCAGGATGTGCTCCAAGTGGACAGGCTCCATGCTTTGGAACCCAGCCTGGAAGTTCCCCTGGAAGTGGAATCTGGCTGAAGGTTTAGCCTTCTCATAGGAGCAAAACAGAGCAGCTAAGACATGTTGCTTTGGCTCCAGAAATGTGAGTTTGAGTTGTGCTGACTGCAATTCCTGTATAAAATTTCTTACTCCAACCCCAGCTATAGGCAATTCTAGCTGGAGAGCTGAAAGTCAGACAGGTATGGCTGCAGCTGCAGGAGCCTCTCCATATTCCCAGCTACAGGGACTGCTCTCTCCTGTTACCTTGAGCTGCCCTACCTGAGCCATGTCAGCCTGAGATGGCCCATGGCTCAGATGTGACCTGAGTCTTGTTTGTAGTGTTTGGGGCTTGGGGGTGGAAGTTTGTAGGTTTGGGTGAAAGCCTGTGGGTTTCTAATGCAGTTCCTGTGGGTTGAAAAGAGGAATAAGGACATGGAAAGGGAATAGGTCCAGTTCAGGTTGTCCACTGAGGATTTTTTTTCACTTTCTGGCTCTTGATATGGGAAAATACCAGGGAACTGGTAAGAAAGGAGTTCCCTCCCAGTGTGGTGAGTGGGAGTTGGCTCCCAGGGCAGAGCTTGCTGTTGCCAGTGTGCAAGGAGAGCTGAGGGAAGGTGAGAAAGGAAAGCGGAGGCCAGGAGGAGAGGCAGTGCAGGAGCCAGACAGACTGTTCCACCCAGAGGAGGGATCCCATCCCTGCCAACCTGGATGCTCCTAAGGGTGCTCTCCAGTACATGCTCGCTCCCATGGTTTATGCTGTGGCACTGCACTGCTTTCCCAAGGCTTTGCAGGTGTGCAGTGCCACACCAGTGTCTTACCAGGGTAAATGCTGCCACACACACACAAGGCAGCCACAGGGGACCCACTGCTCCCTCTGACATCTCACAAATGCACCAGTGTTTTCAGCAAGGAGCCAACTTATACACACAGTCACTGTTCACCCTGCACTGCAGCACTTGATGCACACATGCATATCCCAGACATCCATACCTGGCATCCACTCCCCAGAGCAGGCACATACACAGCACCAACACACAGGTGCTCACCAGAGGCCATGCATTCCCACACACCCACCTGCTCATGTGGCACCACATTGTCCAGGTTGCCCCCTTTAAGCATTATCCCATGCAGATGGGCTCAGGGCAGCACTGACAGACCCATGTTTGTGTCTTTCAGGTCCCCCTGCTTGCCACCACTAAGCTGTGATCTGTGGCATCTCTGTGAGAGGAACAGCGATGTACGCATGCAAGCACGCATCTGCATCCCACTCAGCTCCTGTTTGCTGTGCTTTCTCAATCCCTTTTCCCCTTTTAGCCAGTCATAGTACTTCTTCCATGCTTCTGAAGCACAGGAGCAGATGGTTGGCAGGTCAGTTTAGGATGATGGTTCCTTTCTCCACTAGTGGCTCTCTTCAGCTTCTTAGGTCGGTGCTAAGTGTCTCGGAGATGAAGATCCTCCTTGCCCATCCACACACAACACCTCTGTGTCACTCTCAGCATCTATTAGAAATTCTGAGTCCAAATGCCTCTTTAAATTGCCCTCATGACCGTACTTTAACCCAAGCAGCACTTCAGGCCATAGTGGTTTTTCTAGATTTGGCAGCATCTGTTAGCTTTGGCCAAATGAGGCAGCTCCATCTCCAGTCTGCTTTGTACATGTGCCTTGCTGAGACCCAAAAGACTCTCTCACTTGTCCCCTTTCAGCCTAAATTATTCATCTGCTGTAATGCACAATGGATGTTTGTGGGAAGAGGCACGCAGGTACAACTGAGCGCAGTGCCGAGGCACTGACGTTACCAACCAGCTAAAATTGCCTCAATGCACAAGCCATGCTTAGCTGAGAGAGACAGGAAATTTCTACTCCTTCAAATTTCTACTCCACTTCAGAAAAGTGAATGGTGGTGGCACTGGTGAAGGCAGAGGGGTAGAGGGGCTGTTTGGGGCTGACGTGGCAGTGGGGACTTCCCTACGTTTCTTCTGGCTCCTCTGATGCTGCCACATGGACATGGATGTGTTGTGAGTATGGGGAGGTGGGAGTGTCCTGAAGTAGGTGGCTTTGAGGAGTTGAGAATGGGCATGCCAGAGTGTGGAAAGTGTACATGAGCAGGGAAGGGGCTGAGGTTGCTGGGGCACATAATGTGTGTGAGGGCATGGAGCTCCTAAAAGAGGCCATTGTGCTGTACACTCCACTCACCTACACTGAGGTGTATCCACGTGCTGGAAGCCCATGCTGTCCAATAGCACAGGACAAGAGTTTATGGGGCTCCTTTCACACTTCCTCCATGTGGCTGGGGCTAGACCCAACTGCAACCCCTGCATTGCCTGTGTCTAAGCCATGCCTATGCCAGCCTGTTTTCTGTCTGTGAGCTCTTCCTTTTTTATCTGTGCCACCACTGCTCCAATGATCCCAGTGCAGCCATGGACCCCTATGCCATATAACCTGCAGCTGCTCTTCCCCGCTGCAAAGCCCATGCTTTCTCTTGCCTCTCCCACTTCTCGAGGGCACACAGGTACGCTTGCTTGCCCTGATGTCAAACCCTAATTGTTGTCCGTCACCGCTGGCAGCATCACGCTGTGACACTGCCGAGCTTGTTAAACAAGCCCAGCAGAGCGCTCGCTGTGCTGTCCCTGGTGCTGGGCCGATCTCCCTTCATTCCCTTGCCCCTTCTTACCCACCCCGTGTATCTCTTTGTCTTTCCTGGGGCCTGGGGGAAGCTGGTGCCTTCCTGGCCAAATCTCTGCTTCCCATAAGGGTTTATGTACTTCTCTGCCACGCTTAGGTTTTGCAGTCACATCCCCTGATGCCACTATCAGCCAATTTCAGAGCACTCGGGGCTGGTGGGACTGTGCACTCTTTGCATGCAAATTATGCACATCTAACACCAGAACGGAGGGAAAGAGAAGGGATGAGTCTGGCTGCTTTTGCAGGCTTTCTGCTCCAGACACTTTGCCCTCCAGAGTGTAAGCTCCAGTTGGTGGACGGACACATAGGAGATTGTAGAATGGGCAGAATTAGCAGGAGTGCAGAAAATAAAAAGGTGTGGGGGGGAAATCTTACTCAGAGATGGAGGCAGTTAAAGCAGATTTGGCGTAGCAGTGTGTGTGTGTATGAATATGCACCTGTGCACTTGCACAGAATAAATACATCTGTGTCCAAAGTGAGTTCCAGTTCATAACTTTCAAGAATGTTTGTGGTTTTTTTTTCCTTTTGGGTGAGTGGTGCTGGCTGTCTGTGTTTTATGTCTAGTTTTTGTTTGTCTGCCTGTGTTGGATGTTGATGAGTATTTGTGTTTTCTGTGTGACAGAATATGTCTGGTGATTGCTGGGGCTAATGTTTAGGATCCAGAAGGATGCTATGCCACTGTGTGGGCTGGGTTTAGGTAGGTAACAGTATCTGATACAATCAGTTTGTATGCTGCAGGCAATTCATAAGCAGAGTATATTTGTGTGTGATATACAGCCACTGGTGCTTGCTTGACTTATGTTCCTGAGTGCATGAGGATGTTTTATGTGCCCTCATTTTCTTACAGATACGTAATTTGCTAGTGTGGAGTTTGCAGTGACATGGATGTGTGTGTGTACATGGCACTTTTTCTGGTCTCTGCTATGGGAGTGGGCTCATTAAATGCTGCGTGTTTGTGCAGTGACAGTTTTGTATAGGGGGTCAGGAGCCAGTGTGTGGTAGTCATGTGTGGGTATTCTGTGTGCATTTGCACAGGAATCACTATTTGCTGTGCTGTATGAAAATGTTTTTGCTGCGTACTCATAGGAGAGGTGGAATAGGCTGGGTGGAGCTGATGTGGTGTTGTGTGATGGTTGTCTGAGTTATCACGTGTGCATCTTAATACAGATGTGCAACCTTGTAGGTCAGTGCAGGGTGTATGTGAAGAAGAGAAGCACCTCATCCTTCGCAGGAGCTTTGAGTTTTTAGGGGTTGTATGCAAGGTGGTGTGAAAACAGCAGTGAGTAAATGTCTGTGTGTGTGTCCAGCACGTGTGTGTGTCCTGAGTGTGCAGAGTGTCCTTGCAGAGGGTGTGTCTGGGTGACTGTGAGGGCTGGGAGGTGGCGTGTGTGTGTGTGTGTGTGTGTGTGCATGCAGCCGTGTGTGTAAGCACACTTCACCTTCTCCCGGTGCAGCTCCATCAGCACCTTGCCCTGTGCTGGGTCAGGTGCTCTCTCCTTGTGTGTGCAGTGGGGCAGCCAGGCTCTTAGCACGCAGGCCAATCTCCTTCCATGCTTTCAGTCTCTTTCCATCTGGCTGTCTGTCTACGCTGCTGCCCGTGTCCAGTTGTCTGTTCCCATAATCACCGATACGCCTTGTCTAGCTCACACCCTACACTGCCTGTGGACTCAGCAGCTGTGCATCTCTCCGTCCCTCCCACACACACACATTCACACACACACACACACCCTGGATCTTCATATGTGGCATATTCAGTTGCCATTGGAAACCTAAGAAAGAAGTGAATCTACCCTCCAAGTCTTAAGCTGGTGTTTTTTTTCCTTTTTTTTTTTTTTTTTCCCTCCCCTCTCCTCCTCTCCTCACAGAAGGCGAAGTCGTTCGCAATGAATCCATGGCAGCTTCGATCGAGCGGTGAGCTGGAGCACCTACTCACAGGCCACTCCTTCATGTGACTGAACAGAGACCTTTCCCAGCACTTGCCAAGGAGAGCAGAGCCCTGGATTTACCTCCGGCGCACCCGGGCACCCCCAGCGCAGGCACTGCGAGGTAAGCCAACCTCAGCACCTCTGTCTGTGCCTCTCTCCATCCCACCCTCCCTCCCTCTCCTTGCTCGTTCCCCAGAGGTGTGAGGGAGGAGAAGGGCAGGGGTTTCTGCTATACTGTGAACAAAATCTAGGCTTTCATCAGCGCCCTCCCCACAACGGAGAGCTGCTCCCTCCCCTCTGAGCCCCTTCCCTTGAGGCTCTGCCTGCGTGTGCAGGGAGGGGTAGTTTGCAGAGCAGCCGAGGGATGCGCTGCGGGTCCCCCGCACGCAGTCCCGAGTGCATTCCGCCCCTTTCCCACCTCTCCCTGGGCACACACCTGTCTGCTCTTCTCCATTCGTCATTTTCCTCCACCTCCCCTGTTTCTCGGGAGAAGGGGCAGCCGGGCTGACTCTGCTGCAGCCTGGCCAGCAGCAAAGCTGGGCTCTGCAGCCCTGGCCTGGGTCACCTCAGGGATGCAGCTTGGAGCAGGAGTGGGCATCATGCTACCGGGAGTGGGCCACAGAGGGCAGGATTCCCCCTCCCTCCTCATCTCACAGATATTTTGGGGATTCCGATTCCCCATAGAAGATGCTGGCCTCCATTTCCTAGCCAGGTACCTCCTCTGAATACCCAGCCCAGGCTGCCACAGCTTTTGGGGTGATGGGCATGCTCTTTGTCACTGCTTATCTGCTGTCCCCTGGTGCTCCTTCTCAACTGGAAGGGATGTTTTCCTACTGGAGACAGTGTGTTTCATAAGCTGGGAACGCCGTGTGCCCTGCACAGGCAGTGAAGGGGCCCTGTGCCGAGCCTGACCCATTTTGGGGCGCAAAGCTCTTGGGAGCACCTGAAAGGGCCTCCTGCCGCCTGGGGCTGCCCTCAGTGCTCCTATTCCTCAGCTCCTCTGCAGGGAAAGCAGGAAGATCAGCTGCACTATTTCCAAGCCATGTCTCCGAACTGCTGGAGCTGCTGTGGTGTGGAGGTGGGAGGGGAGTGGGAGCAGCTGTTTCTCCCAGTGCCTGGGCAGGCCCAGACATTCTGCCAGTCCTCAAGGAGCACGAACGTGCCTGGAGATGCCTCTCCCCAAAATAGACCCTAAAGAAATGAGCTGCTGACGAAGTAGTGGGTAGCCTTAGAGGAGTGGATTTTAAAGGGGAGGTCTGGGAGTTTGCAACCTGCCAGGCTCTGGTTTCAGGCTCTGAACAGACTCTGGCAGAGACCAGAGTTTTTTCGAGTCAGATTTTGGGGGCTGTTGTGTTTCTCTGAGGGGAAGGGACTGGCAGGGTCTGTGCTACTGTGCAGCCCCAGCAGTGGTGCTGGTGTGGTGTCCCCTAAAGGAGGTGATAGGTTGCTCCCCTCCTGCCCAGGTCCCACCTGGTGATGCTGACAAGGAGGGCGCATCTTCCACTACCTCTTCCAGTGCATCTCTCTGCTGCCTCTGCAGGACCCTGCCATCAGTTTACCCCATCTGCAATTCCTCAATGCTCCCTGACCCATTGCTGCAATACCTACGCTTCTACACAAACTGCTGCCTTCAAATTCTCTTTGCTGCCTCTTGCTGTTTTTCTTCCTTCTCGGGGGTGCCCTGAGCCCTGCTTTTCCCTCTTTCATCATCCATTCCTCATTTTCCTTCTTTGTGACCACCATGCCGGGCAGGGTCAGCTTTAGTCAGCCTTGGGAAGGGCTGTTGCTGCCTAGTAGGGTTGTTTCTGATGCTGGTGCCAGCTGATGATACTGTGAAGTGATCGTTCCCCTGTGGTTCACACCCCCCGGTGCGCGCATGCCTGTGTTGTGGGTGACAAGTGACCATGGTGTTGTTGATGTGTCACTCTTCCTCCTGGCCGGAGCCTGACAGGGAGTGTGCCCATGCAGTCACACTTGCTGTCATTGTTGGGGAGGCTGCAGAAAGCTCTTCCCATGTGGAGCCTCCAAAGTAATTTGGCATCGGTTAAATTCCTCAGTCCTCTCAGGACATGGCTTTGGCACTGACTTAGCGTGGACAAGACAATAAATCCAGCTCTAGGGAGCTTGGTACTGGGTCAAAACTCCTGCAGCTACATGGTAGGAAATGCTGATCCAGTATGAATTCACTCTGCTGTTTGAGATTTGTTTAGAAAACAATGCTAGCTTAACTCTGTACTGGCAGGATTTATGTTGTGTTGGGTATTATCTGTCTGCACAACCCTCTCTTGGTGCTGGCTCGAGTGCTGTTTGTGTGCCACATCTGGCACGTGCTCCGGATCATGCATGCTATGGCTAATCTGACAGATGTAATTGCACGCTGCAGCCAGCCTGGTTCAGTCCCTCCTGTCAGGCAAGCCAGTCTGAAAGAGGGTTAAATTACAGTCCGGGAGCAAGCCGTGTCCCACACCAGGCAGCTGCTGGAGAGGATGGCTTTGGCTGGCGGGAGGGCAGGCATCATGCTGAAGAGGAAGGGGAGGGAAGCATTGTCTCAGTAGGAGGATGTTGTTCTCCAGCCCTGACCACGCTACAGGTCAGTGAACAGGGTCCAGGAGAGGCATTATCATTCCTCAGAGGATCATGTTGGCAGAAAATGGGGTTGCACCATGGACAGAGGCCAAGCCAGCCACGCTGGAGGCATGTGCTCATTTGGGACAGAGTATGAGTGCAAATCCTACCATTATGCTGTAGGAACTTGTTCCAGGTCTGTCACTCAGGTGCTTGTCCTGCTGAGGGAGGTAACTTTGTTTGTGCTGAAGGGCCAAAGGGCAGGAAGGTGGTGAGGGATGATTTGCCTCATGCTTTTGCGTGGATGTGTGCAAGTCTCTGGAGAATTTGTTGACCAGGTTTAGCAGTCTGAAGTTAGTTTTACTATAAATCCCAGCCAAATTAGCTTTTGGAGGTTAAAGTCAAGAGGTGACACTGTCTACCCAACCTTGTTGCTAAGGGTCCTAATCTTAATCCTAGCAGACTCTCAGACTGGTCACCATGCTGTGCCACAGCTTCCCCTGCCTTTATGTGGAATGGGCAGTAGCCGCAAACACAGTGGGAGAGGAGGGGTTTGGGGAGTAGGGCTGTGAAGGAGCAACGCTTCAGGCTGCACAGAGAGATGCTGCAGGGAAGGGAGGTTCAGCCTGGGGACTCTGCTGACATGGCTGAGTGCTGTCATTCGCAGGGCGCTGGATGCCGGAGGAGAATCCGTAATGACCAGGGGGCTGCGTGCCAGGGCCGAGGCAGCGATTCACTCAAGCCTCTGTTTGTTTGGGAAGAGAAAGGGAGTTTGTGGCTTGTCACTTGGGAAACAGAGTAGAGATTCACTGGAGAGGGACAGGCTTCTTGGCTGGGCCTCCCTGAGTAGCCGTGCCACGTGTCTGTGTGTGTCAGGGAACTAAGGGGACCCTGGTACAGGCCATGACTGGCAGCTGGCCATCCCCAACCCCCGTCATTTCACCTCCCCCTTGCACCTTCTGCACGGCCACTGCCAAGTAGCTGAGGACAGCCCTGAGACACACATACATGACAGACCAGTGCATGTAAAGAGAGGGAGACAAGTTAAAAGCCTTGCTAGAAGAGCAGCTGGATGGGACTTGTGCTACCTCCCTACCTGGTTTATACCCTGTGCAGTAGAACAATCTGTGTGAGTGTCCATATTGCTTCATTCCAGCCAAAACAGGCACATTCAACAGGGCTGTGTCTGGTGTGTGGGGAGTCTTTTTGGGCTAAATTGGAAGAAGACCTCTTTCTCCCCCAAGTTCCTTCTCTGTCTCATCCCACTGTGAGCTCTCTCTTGCTTCATAGAGGTGGAGACCTGCAGGCAGTGGAGGGAAGTGTTGCAGAAGGAAAAGGGAATCTGAGACTCAAAGAGCATGGAGAGGATACAGACACAGATGAGAAAGAGGGAGGACCTGAGAGAAAAAGGACAGAAGCAGCAAAGGAGAAAAGGGATGGAGAGGGAGGCAGAAATGTCCCTGCAGTGACAATGTGGTATGGAAGTACCTTATATTGATATTACAGACTAGAGTTTGACCTGACCACATTTGTACTGGGCAGGGATGTGGTCTCAAAAGCTCTGTGGCAGGACCAGCTCTGCACAGTAAACTGCTCATCTTCTATTCACCTCCTTCATTAAGGGAATAGCCAGCCTGTGATTGTCCTACTTTGAGATGCCTTCTCCTTGTGCATATTCTTCTGCTTCCGATATGGAGGAGGGAACATGGCTGAGAAACCCCTCCTCATGTCCTCTGTCCTCATGGCCCTCACCACACAGAACCAGAGGAAGTGAATGTGCTGCCAGCACTGCTGAGAATTGCCTTGCTCTGTGCTGGGGGGATGTTGGTGAGGCCTTAGAAAGAGGCACAGACTTGACTTTAGGTGGCTACCCAGAAAAACTTATGGCCACATTACCCCACAAAGACAGTATCTGCAGGGAATGACTTCAACAAGCTACACAATTTTTTCTACAATTCTTTTCTACATTATTTTTTCTACAATTGCCCCATCAACATGCCCCACAAGAACTGAACAGCAGCAATTAGATAAGAAGGATTTATGGAAATTTCTCTTCCTCTTTTACAAAATATACTTGAATAGGTGTCTGTCAGGTAAGGTAGGTATGCCAGGTCTGTCACAGGGTAGGTAAATTTCATACAGATGCTCTAAGTGTCACTTTAGATGGAGGTGTGATGGTTTCCAGAAGCTGGAATGCCAGCGTTGGCTTGCAGGCAGGTTGGCAGGTGAACATGTATCCACAGCTGGTTGCATGTTCATTGTGACATAAACCTGTGGGTACTTCTTTTCCATCTCAAGCTTCCTCCCTGACTCCCTGTTGCAGGACCAGTAGAAGGTACAGCTTAAAGTAAGTAGCACATCAGGACCATGGGACTGTGCCACGATCTAAACTGCCATGCCTTTTCAAGCCAGCCAGCATGGTGAAATCTATGGAGAACCAGTCTGGCACAAAGGGCGAAACACTCATATAATAGGGCTACTTATTTGAGTTCTCCAGCATTGCCCATTACATTTCATGTCTTGTGGCTGATGCAGTTGAAAGGAAATCACTGGAGC